GTCAGCAGAGGTCCAGGAACGAAAGGCGGAGCAGATAGCAATCGCTTAGGAGCGTGCGAACCCTTGGACTGTATATGCCCCCGGCAACTGCATTCATAGAGCTGGCAAATCAGGTCTTTGGCTTCAAATTCTTCATCGTCAGACCAGTATTTACTGTTAGAGTGCTGCCGATGGATTGTGAGATGGAATCGACATTTTCATAATGTTTAAGCGTGTCTCAGTCGTTGAGATGTGAGTTAGCTGATTAGTTTTATATTGGTGAAGGCTCCTTTTTTGCGGTTAACTGATAAAAATGTTTGAAATCGACTGTCTTTAACTATAAGCCATGTTGATAATTATGATATATTCATCCACATTCTTGCTTTCCTAAGCAGAACAAGAAGAGAAATCTTAATCTTTTGCAAGGCCAGGGGCTCCTATCCCATAGTCTGCGTTCAATTGACATAGAGGAACGAAAAATGGTACTTTATACCGTTCACAGCATATTGCGTAATTGAGGGGACGAATGAAGTATCCCAGTCATTGATACAATACAGTGTTATTATAATATGTCTTTAAAGGAAATTTCTGAATGTCATCACTTGGACCTCCAATTTTGTATCCGGTTTCTCCTGAACGATGATGATAAGTTTTACAGATCAACGGTAGCGGTCTAACTATAACGCCGAGCGCTTAGCATCTTGCTTTCTCTGCTGGATCTCAAAATATCTAAACGTCCTCCAAAAACTATTCTCAGCAGCCAGACGGAAATCAGCATTCTGAAAACATCGTCGTCCCTGTTTGGCGGGAAACGGGATAAGAATCGTCAGCACATTTCTTCATCTTTTGTGACATTACAGTCTTTGAGATACTGAATTGCATTCTCATGCACGGGCGCACCAACTTTTTTTTTAAGTTGATATGCGAGTTTTTGCTAATTTTTGGGTCAGCCAAGGTCCGATCAATGTCATGTCTTCTATTGTTTCGAGTGGATCATCAAATATAATGAAAGGCCATTTCAGCTTCTACATGGATGTTAACAGAGCAATGAGATCGAGACTAACATTATAAAACGAGAACTCTATCATCAATCACCTTCTCTGACAAATGTCTTCGCGTATGAGATTGCTTTGCACGGAATACACGAAAATAGTATACGCATCTTCAAGAGACGGAAGACAAAGTTTCCAGGTATAGTTGTGCAGTTTGTGTTTTAGTGAACAGATAAATGTGTAAGCACAGTGTATACTGTAAGAACAATTCGTCTTAATATTGTAGTGCAAATCATGTGCTTCCGCCCTCTACTCCATGGTAATTTCGGTGACGCGAAATTATCACGAAACGATTTCAGCATTGACGAACGACTTTCAGAGTGGCAGACGCGTTTTCCCACGAATGCCCAACGTCGAAATCGTACAAGACCGAAGGATCAGCTTCCGAGTTCAGCTGGTGAGTGAACGCTTCATCTTCACCAGGAGCCTTATGAACTACTTCCCCAATAGGCTCATGATTATCGGATGCCTAAGAAATAGAGACTCTTTTATAAGCGTGTAGGAAATGTGTTTATAAATCCGCATCGAGTAACACTTCACACTAATACCGTTTCATCAAGACTGAATCAATCAGAAAAAGATAAAATTAATAATGGATGAGCAATACGCATCAAATCGATAGATCCACATAACGTACCAGTCTGTCAGATAGAAAGCATTGCAGATATCCAGTTCCGTCTCGAAGGACAATTGCATTTGCTGACGATGGACCGAACCGGAAACTTAACTCACTGTCAGTACCATTTTCAACAGGTTTCTTTCATCGCAACAATAATGTCAACTGACAAATTTAGCTGTCATCACAATAATCACGTGTTTATGGCGAGTAGAAAGTGAATATTGATCGGGTATACAGTTATCCGAGAACACAAGGATGCAAGTCCATACTTGGATTCTACAAATCTCAGGGAATGGTTAAGGGTGAGCTTGGACCGTCTATGAGCTAAAAGAGGAGCTGTAGCTAATAGACAAGAATCTAGTGCTTTAGCATTGTCGATAATAATAAGCAACATTTGATCTAGACTCTGAGAATGAACGTGTAAATATCTCACGTGATCTGCTTATACTGCTACGATGGGTGAGTTACGAGGACGATCTATTTCAAATAATTCTATAATTGCGTATTCACATACATATTCATTAGACGCTGTAAACATTTGATTGTTAATGGAATTTCTGAATCTTTCTTCGGCAAAGAAGGCAGAGTTTTTGGGATTCCACAAAAGTCGAAACAAATTTCGGAAGAGAAGAGAGGCTGGGGCAATGCATGCATGATAGTTGCTGCCGAGAGAAACAAGAACGCGAACTTTTCCAAGGAGTCGGATTGATGATGGCTGTATTTAAAGCTGAGAAAAATCGAATCTAAGAAATACTGTTGTCAGATCGCCCATCAAAGTTGGAGGGTATGGTATCGGTAATTACTTAACGTTGAGAAACGATTGTAGTATTTGAACAGTGATTACTGTGGTATGATGCGACTGATAATAATTAATTTTGTATTGCTGTATTATAGTGTACATTTTTGTTAGATGTAGCAAAATGGGCGTTAATATAGAAATTCATTGAACAACAGTCATGTTAGATACTAAACAAGCGCCATCGTCGTCGTAGCATTGTTTATACACGTAGCATAAAATTATGATGCAAAGAAACGTGCAAACGTTCTGTTTGTGTCCAACCCAAAACTATACAATCTATTGTTCGATACTTTACAATGTCTGAGAAGTAGTGAGAAATTTCGCGCAAGCGCGGGCGGTTATTCGATCAAAAATCGCGAATTAGGTAATAAGACGCTTCTTTGGTCTTCCATACGCTAACATATTACATAATCAGAGTCTAATCAATTACTGTATTATTATTACGTGATCGCGGAGTTGACATTGCATACTCCTTTATTAATTGATATGACTATGACATACAAACTTACATATTAAGTATCATATATTCAATATAGAATGTCGCCACCTGATTTTAAAAGACTCAGCTAGGATAAAGAAAAGGGGTTTTCAACCATGAATTAGCATTACTCAACGTAGCACCCCGAATCTTCTAGGCAACTTGCTCTACGACATAGTTCAAACGTTTTTCATCATTCCTGCCCACACTGATATCATAATAATAACATAATTGGGCTGCTTTTCCATACGCCAACGCAGAAAGACGGTCGTCCTCACAATGTTGCACCCGGTGAATATTCGTTATCGGCCGCAATTTGAGTCTTCATCATAATCACCATAGCATGGAGCTGTGAGCCGAAATTAAATCTGTCAATCGTTGTTTGAGTCGTTTTTTTTTGTTTTATTGTCAGCGAAAAGGATTTGTTTGTATTAATTTGCGTATTTGTGAGATTAGTTGCAGGAGACTTATTTGCTTGTGGCAATTTGCGTATTTGTGAGATTTGCTGTTGGAGAAGGAGAAGGGTTGCATATATATAAGTGTATTTATGTCATGTACAAGCTACGGTTTCACTCGTAGTCTTCGATTATGATAATTCCCGTAAGTTTCATTATGGTCAAATAGAAGTAAAAAGTCAACGCCGGCAGTGTCTTCGACGATTGAATTTATTGATTCGCGCTGTAGTTTACTCTGTGATGTGACTCGAGGGATTGTCTTTGGAACTGTAGGTAACGTCTTATCCACTTGAAGGTTGTTTGTGACGGGCGGAATAGTCGTTCGCCTCTTTGGTATCGTTCCATTATCGCATTCCCTTCACTAACAAAATTATGCTTTCAAAGTCATCTTTCTTTCAATGCGGTAACCTTTCTCTTGAAAGGCCCATTTCGCTCAGCTTGGTAAACCTAACTTCCATCTCGAAGAAGAGAAGGCATATTACTAACCGGCCGTGAAGCTGGTGCGGACACTGCAAATGTTATTATACTGGGAAGTACTTTTTCTTGTCTGTCATCGAACAAGATCTTTGAGAGTGGTTCTTCACGCTTGTACATCAGGTTGCAAAAGCAACGAGAAAGATTTTCCCATTCTTAATAATCCAGAAACCTTTTGAACCTGAAAAGCGCAGTCATCACAATTAGCATCGTCGTGTGCTGAAGCTTCAATTATATGCTAGGCCTTAAGGTGACATTGTGTGGGAAATTAATGACTGTCTCATAATTATAATGTCTTTTTAATTCTGTCCTTCGATTGGTTCTTCTTACGTTTTCGTGGTTAGATGATATATACTGGTGGTTCGGGGTGCATATTGTTGAATCTTCTTTCTACAATGTCGGCCGCGAGTTCGTATAGAAGTTGGGGAGAGTTCCATTCTTCCATTGCTAGTTTGACAAGTGTGTATTTGCGCCTCCTGTACGTCCCCGACTAACAAAACCATAGTATTTAAATATTCCTTCACCGCGTCCCTCATTAACCGCCCCCCTCATTAACCGCCATTAGCCGCTTCCTTTTACATGTTTTGGTTTCTGCGAAGGCGTATGGTCAACTTCTAATAATATCGTTAGTGAGCACGGTACGAAGTATGCCTATTACTGAGACAGCACGTGAACCGTAAGTCAGTGTAGACGCATATCTATTTCTATTAATATATTGTGTACGACACGCAGGATTAGTATATGAGAATATACAAAAATATTTGTCGCAGCTGATGCTTGCAGTCGGCTGATGCTTGCATTCCACGTGATTTTTCTATTACCTAATTATTGCGGGTAT